GCTATGCTTGTTGCTTCAGGCTCTGAGTTCACATGAGCTTTGCTCAGTCGATCCAGAGGGCCTTTTTCTCCTGGTGTCTTCCACCCCCTCATTTTTGCCTCCTCCTCCACAGTGTTTGCTGAGCTCTGAGGGGAGGGGTTTGATGGGGGCATCCCATTTAGAGCTGCGTGTTCCAAGGTCTCTCTCTTTCTCTCTGAATAATGTCTGGTTGTGGGTCTCTGTATTTATTCCCTCTTCCCATGTGACTCCAGGTTTTTGCCAGGTTGACGGCTGAAGTGAAGGCTAACATCTGTCAAACACAACACAACTGAGTTAGAAGATGGCCATTTTTCCTGGAAGAGACTCAGTAATCCCCGTAAGGAGATTCATAAAGACAAATAGCTGCCCTTGGGTATTTCAGTCCATATCAAGTCTTTTGAGATGTGGAACAATAATGAGACCCAGCAGAAGAGCAATGGTGTACCACTCACTGAGTACCTCATACCTTGCTCTGGCATTCTTACCATATTAGGGACAATTTAGCATCTTCATGCCACCCCCATTGATTTCTACACCAGTGCAGGATTCCCTCAGTTCTCAGGTTCCAGGTGACCCTAAAAGATCAAATCTCAAACAACTTTTAACACCTTTCTTTCTAAAACCATAGATTTTATGTAGAGAGCACCGTTAAGTCCAAATGACAGGCCACACAGGTAGGTGCCTGGGGCCCGCATGTTCCTGCTGGCTGCTTGATTTTAAGGAGCGTGCATTATTGTAGAGACATAGGATATGGATCTGTGGAGCTATCAAGGTGAACTTAATGGGCCACTCTTCCAAGCTGTCCATCCTTGAGAAGACTTTCTCATGATAACTTGCATCCCAGGAAGCTGGCAGTTCATCGTCACACACAATTCCACTCATTTTTCGTTTACCTTGCACTGAAAACGTCTTCATGTAGTTCAGTGGGTTAGTTCTAATGGAGCCTGAGACTGTGTAGAACAGTTCAATTTTTCTTCCACTGGATGATCTCAGTTGATCCATCAGGACCCATGTCGCCACCAGTGAAGGAATCTCAGCTTGGCTGTTGGCACGTGAAGGGAGGCTTAGACCTGAAATCCACAAAACGGACATAGCTCTCAGTGAAAGTTTGTTCAGGAAAACACACAAGGCTGTCACACACCCAGCCTCTTTTCTGGTTTCTAGGGACCTTAAAGTCTGCACACATCTGCGCTCTGAGTACTTTTCTCACGGTGCCACTCAAGCACCATGACAGAAGCAGTGAAGAAGAGGTTCCTTCCGTTCCCAGGAGGACAGAAGCAAATATGTGAAACCCCATTAGCTCCAGTTACCCAACTACTGGGACTAGGGAATGGGACAGTCTGATCTGCTAGGTTGTTTGGTGACAAGACCAGGAACTGGAGTTGGGACTAACTCAGCTTAATCTTCCCTGTCATCTTGATTGGATTTGGAATCACCTAGGAGACACACCTTTGGGCATTTTTCTGAGGACATTTCCAGAGGTGTAACTAAGGGGGTCCCAGACTAAGTGCAAAGGGGATGGATGTAAGAGAAAGGGAATCCAGTACAGTATTGGTCTCCCTCTGTTTCCTGACTGGGATGCAGTGTGACCATCTGCTTCATGCCCCTGCCTCTGTGACCTCTTCTCCCTCTCCCTAATGGACTCCCCTCAAACTGTGTGTCAAACTAACCCTTCCTCCCATAAGCTGTTTATTTTGTTAAGTATTTTGTTATAGCAACGGGGAAAGTGACTAAAACGCCAACCAAACTACTAAGTGAGCGTGGAGAAAGAATAAACAGCCTAAGAGAGACGTGGGGTGCTGCTGGTGTGAGAATAAGACGGGAATGCCAGAGAATTAACAGACTCTGGACTTCTAGGTGTCGATTGGTCTCAGGTCATCAGAGTTTCTGTCTTCTGGTACAACATCCCCACAGACAGAACGCAGATCTAATAGAGAAAGGTTCCGCCACCAGATGGCTAGCACAGCTCTCTGGTGCTTGTGGACCTTAGAGGAATAAGAGAACAGTAGGCTAGAACGGCTGCATCTTCAGGAGAAGGTGGGCCTGAAATAGGCTAGTAGAGATGGCCTGTCAGGTCATGCTGACATTCCAAACTTACATTACTACAAGGATCACACTATAATCCAATTAGGATAAATATATGTCAGTGTTTAAAATTCTGAAGGATATGCAGTTTTCTCAGTAGAATAGGACAATCAGCATGTCCTAAATTATGCTTGTCAGGACAGTGTCAGGGAATCTGCTGAAAGGGGCTGGGAATGTATTATTCAAAGAAATGTGGCTCCCTTTCAGCTGAGGGGCACTTGTGAGATCCCAATGTGGACAGTGAGGAAAGGGATGCATCAACCCCTGGAAGATCCACACTGCTGCTCGTGAGCACATTCAAGATGCTGAGAGTCGCACAACGTAGTGGTTTGAATGAGAATGTCCCCCATATGCCTATATATTTGCATGCCTAGTCCCCAGTTAATGAACTGTTTGGAAGATTGGGAGGTGTGTCCTCTGAGGTTTCAAACGCCCACCCCAGGCCCAGTGTTTCTCTTTCTCTTTGCCTTTGGATCAGGACGCAAAGCTCTCAGCTACTACTCCAGCGCTCTGCCTTCCTGCTTGCCGCTATATTTCCTACCATGATGATCATGGACTGGACCTGTAAGCAAGCCCCCAATTGAAAGCTTGCTCTTATATAAATCCTTAATTCTAAGCATTGCCTTAGTCATGGTGTTTCTTTACAGCAATAGAACAGTGACTATGACACATAACAGATAGCATACCAGTCATGAGATCCTAGTATTTTGTTTTCTGGAATTTCCTATCACGTGGAACAGAGTCTTGACTCTAATGATGTGTCTAACAAAAATGAAAGAAACTAAGTGACAGGAGGGGCCTAGCTAGTGTTTTATTGCTATTGTTCACTTCAGGGTTAACCCATCTTGGCCGTGTGTGTGTGTGTGTGTGTGTGTGTGTGTGTGTGTGTGTATAATATCTATTAACACACTACAGAACTAGGGCTGCATATAATTACTTATTAAAAACTTGGTTTTTCTGTATCTTGCCCAAAGCCCTGCCCAGCTGAGTCAGAGGACCTAGACTGAATTCTGCCCCCAGTGAAGTATTTAAAAGTTTAAAAACATTTCTTTAAGTGCTTTTGGTATACCTCCAAAGCTTTCTCTTCCTAACCACCTCTCCATTTCTCTTTCAGCTGAAGAGAGATGAATCCCTTGAGGCAGACAAACTGGCTGTGAGCATTCACAGACCCTCCAGAAAGTCAGTCACCAAGATGCTGTGTAAGCGGCTCGCTTTCTTTCAGTGTTTGTTTATAAGAGCGAAGGACTTGTGTTTGGCGCTGATGTGACGGTGCTGGCCAAGATGTTCTTCTTGGTTCCTATGACTTGCCTGCTTTGTTTCATCTTTGGCTTTGAGCATTCCAAACCTTGTGCTGGGTTACAGTTGCCGAGATGCCTTCCAAGTGCTATGAAATAAATCACGCTGGCACGCTGAGCCTGAGCACGGCTCTCCCTGTAAGATGAGTGGGGGTGGGTTCTGAACCTGGTTGTGTTCCAGCATTCTTCAGACATGTGGTACAGGTCATGGTGGATCCTGCATGCACTCGCTAATGCTAACACACACAATGTTTTACAACTCGCTTCAGGGGATTGTGACCTCCCAATGGCCATGTAGACTCTGTGAATCTTTTTAATTCCAGATAAAGAACAACTAGCCATGAATTCTTCCGAGTAAATCATTCCACCTAGGACATTGTGTAGCCTTGCATCTAAATATCATCCTGTTTAAAAACAAAACAGTAAAAATAGTCTTTTTATTGGAAAATGCACATTCTTGTAAGAGACAAACTATTTTTAAAAATTTAGGCACTGACCAGCCTCTCCCAAAAGGATGCTAGACAAGTCAGTGAACCCATGGGCTGCGGAAATGGGTCAGAAGTTAAACCCTTGCCATTTAAGCATGAACACCGGGGGTCCGATCCCCAGAGCCCACATAAGTGCTGCTGGGAGTGACTACCCCCTTATAATTCCGCTCTTAAGACAGCAGAGACAGGGGTCTGTAGCAAGTTGGCTATGGAGACTGACCGTATCAGTGCGCTCTGGGTTTGACAGTGAGATCCTGTCTCAGTGAATAAGGTAGGTGAGTGACTGAGGAAGATTCCTCACTCAACCTTGGGTCTACACACACACACAGGCATTCAAACACGCATGCACACACAGGCACATACCTATGCATGCACGTATATATACACACACACACACACACACGTGGAAAAATGAAAAATAAAAAAACTAAGCGAAGCAACCCCAGTCTTCCAGGAGAGACACTGATGAGGCTTGTGAAACATAAACTTTCCAAATCACCATCTAAATTCAGAAAGAAAAGAATCAAAGAATCCCTGGGTTAATGTGCACACAGAGCATGGAGGCTGTGCCCTCTGTGAACAAAACCCAGAAGTTGCTGCCCATTGGTCTTTTGACTCTAACAATCAATGTCTTTGAGGTGTTTCAGCCCCAAGTGGGAGTTGGCCCTTGGTGTCAGGAAATAGGGAATCTCCACTTCTCCTTTGATCATGGTCTTATCAATGTTTGCTCAAGTTAGTATCTCAGCAACATGCCTGGGGTCCAAGCTCCCTGCTAGAGCCCATGCCCTGCATGTGCAAGGCCCTGAGTGTTATTATTCATAGTGCTGGTGACCCAGGAGGGGCAGTGGCGGGTGAGAGGAGGCCTTGGCCTCTGTGAGTCCCCTGGTGAGTGGCCTGAGGCCATGCTGGAGACAGACAGATATGCCATGCAGAGAGAGATGGAGTATAGGCTTTATTTAGTGGGTTATGGAGGGGAAGGGAAAGGGGAAAGGGATGGGGGGGAGAGGCAGAAGGAGCCTCTCCAGATGAAGGGGGAGGGTGAGTTGGGAGTGGGCAGAGCTTGTCTCTTAAAGGGACAGGGTATCCAGGTGACAGACTAGGCCAGCAGCTAACAACAGTCCCATCTTTTTCTTATAATAAAAAGGTGGGGAGATGGCGGATTTTCAAGACTGCTTCCTGTTTATTTGCGGAAGTCAAAGTCTTTCTGGGGGGCGCTGAGAAAGCTGGGTGCTGTGCCTGCCTCTCAGCCTCAGGTGCTCTCAGCTCATGGCTGTTCTCTCCCTCCATCCTCGCCCTCCTCTCTCCTCCTCCAGCCCCTGTTAGATCACTCAGAGACAAACCTCAGGCAGTTCTCACAGGAAAGGAGTTGGCAAGGGAGAAAATGCTTATTGACCTTTGTGGGGATTCGGGATCCTGAGTGGAAACTGTTGTCAGACTCATCCCTGCCCCGGGGCTGGAAATGAGCAGCGGAGGGAATTTTGTCTGCTTCCTCCCAGAGTCAACACTACGTTCACACTTCTGTTTCTATGTCGTGTCTTCCCTGACCCATCACAGAATCAAAAGGATCAAAGGAACTCCTAATTGTTTCTAGAGTACTATATTAGCAAACTGGAGGAGAGAAGGCTGGGGAGATGGCTTGCTTGGTAGGATGGTTGCTACATAAGTTTGAGGACTTGAGTTTGCGCCCCAATCACCTGTGTGATAAAACGCTGGGCATGGTGGCATGTGCTTATAATCCCAGAGCATCCCAGAGCTGTGCAGGTGGACACAGGTGGACCTCTGGGGTTTGGTGGCCAGAGGTCTAGCTGAATCGCTGTGTTCAAGGTAAAAGTGAGAAACTGTCTCAAAACAAAGTGGGCGGGTCTCCTGAGGATTTGACACTTAAAGTTGATGCCCCCCCCCCGCACACACACACACACACACACACACACACACACACACAAAGACAGATGAGGCATACACAGTAAAGGAAAGATTTATCTTGGACCAAGTAGCTTTGGGCCTATTGTGAGGCAGAATATTACTGCAAAATAGAAGAGGAAGGAAGAGAGGGAGGGAGGGAAGGAGGGAGGGAGGGAGAGAGGGAGGGAGGGAGGGAGGGAGCTAACTCATGGGTGGATAGCTGCTATCCTGTCCTTTTGGAATTTTCAGTCACTTGACCCTTCAGCTTTGGTCCTGTGATGAGGCAGAACATCAGAATATGGCCTGTGGTGGATCAAAGCTGTCCACCTCACAGTGTGCAAGCAGAAAGGAAAGGAGTAGTCCCCAGCCTCCCTTCAAGGCACAGCGAATGCCAGCCTCATCCATCCAGAGTCCTCAGGTTTCCACCCCCCCGCCCACAGACAGCATCATCCACTGGGGATCATGCCTTTGAGGCATGAGGTTCTGGGCAGCTGTTGGAATACAAACCCTAAGAGCTTGCTGAAAACCTGTTAATTTAACTGTTGAGTTGTTCCTGAGACAACCTGATCTAATCATGTTTCAGTCTCTAAACGTCTGCTGAGAGTGTGCTTTGCTTTTCATAGTCAAGTGGTTTTGGAACTTTGAAATATACTCAGTTCTATTTGAAATATTCTAAGGAGAAACATACAAGAAATCTTAAGGATTTATCTCAGGGATTAAGAGCCTTTGATATGCTTGCAGAGGACCCATGGTTGGTTCTCAGCACCTACACTGGGCCCTCTTCTGTCCTCCATAAGCACTACAAACATGTGGTACACAAAGAGATAAGCAAGACAACACACTTATGCATGAGTAAAAATAAATATTTTTTAAGAAAAAAAATCAGTCAATCAATCAGTCAATCCTGGGGCCAGTGAGATGGCTCAGAAAACAAAGGTACTTGCTGCCAAACCTGAGATTGATCTCAGGACCCAGCAGAAGGAAAGAACTGATTTCAAGAAGTTGCCCTGTAACTTGCACATGTGTGTTGTGACATGTGTATGCAATAGCTGTACTTAATGGGTTCTCAACAAACCCATCAAGTTGAAATGAGGACATATTGAAAGTCATGGAATGGAAGGAGTTGGAGTGAAAAATAAGGGGTGAAGATGTGATATCTTATTATGTGAATATCTGGAAACTTCAAAAACAAAAAAAAATTCGAGTAAAAAGTATAAACTTTAAAAGAAAATGTAGGCAATTGTATAAAAAACTGATCCCAAAGTCATATGATTAATTCTTGTGTTTGACTGTTCTTTATCTCTGGGAGGTCATCTGCCTGTAGCAGGCAGCACCCAGCCAAGGTGGCAGGGAACCCTGGTTAACGAAGGAAGCAACTAGGAAGAAGAATCCCATCCCTCCCTCACCTACTCCGTCATCTTGTCTCCTACTTCCTTTTCCAGTTGTCTTGGTCCTCGTGTTTGCTATCTGCTGGACCCCCTTCCATGTGGACCGGCTCTTCTTCAGCTTTGTGGAGGAGTGGACTGAGTCCCTGGCTGCTGTGTTCAATCTCATCCATGTGATATCAGGTAAAGGCTTGGTGGGCTCAGGGACATAGGGTTCCATAGCTTTTCCTTCGCTCTGTCACCATACAGGCAGTTCACAGAGACTTCTGTTATGGGAACAGCGGGAGCTGATTGTATTCAGGGATTAAAAATGTTTTCAGGGTACTTTATGGGAAAACCCCAACTCTACATGTGAGTGTGATAACTATGGCAGGAGAGTGACCCACAATCATCAGAATATGAGAGCAATAAAACACATGAGAAGAAATGCTTTTCCCAAAGGTACAAAGCTGTAAGACAAGTGAAAACAGGGCTCAAGTCCAAGCCATTGAAGTTCAAGATTTTTTCCAACCAACTGCACTTAGCTTCAGGGTACTTCTGCCTGCCTGCTTCTGTTGTCACTGGCTCTTTCTGGGGACTGTCAAGGGCATAGTCAGAGGGTAAAGGTTAGATGCATAGGTGCAACAGCTCAGGCTAGAAGGAAGGGTGGAGAGAGGAAGAGGAGGGGAGAGAAAGACCAGACTGGATAAAGCCACCATTTCTGCCTCTGAACATTTGTACCCAAATACACGTTCTCTCCCTTCATCAACTCTCCATGTCAAGTACAGCTGGTGTCATTCACCTCCACGGAGTGGCTCCTGACAACAGTCGTCTGTTAGAATAGAATAACTGCTGTAGCCTGGCTGGTGATGTCATACATGCTCCTAGGAGATGGCATTGTGCATCCCTGTTACTAGCTTTGCCTAGGGTCCTGACTCTGCTACATTCTTCCAAGTACTTAGAGGGGGAAAAAGTCTAAATCCCCTGCCTTTCAATGTGCTTTGACGTTCCCAGAATGCCCTAGTAAGCATTTGACCCATTGTCCAAATGAACAGACATATCTCCTGTTCCCGAGACGGCACCGACCATAGACAAAAAGAAGGGATTCCATCCAAGTACAGTTTGTTAGACCAATGAGTCACTGGGGTTACTGATGGAAATGAGAGCAATTTATGGACAGCTATATCACTGAAAAAAATATATCTCTCAGCAATGCATAACTGTGGATAAACCCTTGGAAGGGGCACAGCCTCATAAACCTCTCCCCAAACAACTGTTAACTGTCTAAATCTTTGAGGGAAGGCAGGCAAGTCCTTCCCCTGTAATGTGAAGTTAGTGGGGACACTCTTGTGTAGTCTCCAATGGGTGATGGCAGTTGACAGTTCTAGAGGGCAATGACCATGACGGTGTCTTGTCTGGAAGATGCTGTTTGACAATGCACAGCTTCCACCAGAATATCCTGCCACTATTTTCCAGAAGGAATTAAAGTGCCAGTGTTTATCTAAGGGCACAGAACAAAGGAGGGCCGGCGTCCTAATCTCCCTTAAGCGCCATTGCTGTCTTAGAGAAACAGACCAAGCTATGATAATAAGAGTGGGCGTACGGGAGCTGGAGAGATGGCTCTGTGGCTAAGAGCTCGCACTGCTCTTACAGAGAACCCCACCTTGGCTGCTAACCCCCATATAGGTTTCTCACATGCCTGTAACTCCAGTGCCAGTGAGTCAGACACCTTCTTTTGGCCTCTGTGGGTACTGCTACTCATATGCGCACGTGCACACACACACACATACACAGAAAAGCAAATCTCTAAAGAGAAGAATGCATGTATAACAAGCAGAGAAATGGCAATATACAAGCCACCTGGTGGACAAAATAAATGGTAAAATATAATTAATCAGTGGAAGAGCTATCAAGGGAAGCAGGCGTGGGTAGGGAAGGGACGTGGTTGGGGGGAGGGGTGATCTCTCTATGGGAGGTTTTCAGTCGAGTGAGGAATCTCAACAGGGACCGCGTGCTGACTAATTTACCCAGCTTCACCACTGTGGCCTCAAATAATAGCTTTAACTGAAAATCCAATGAAGAAGCAAACCTCCTTTCTCTGATATTTGAGCATCTCTTATTAGGGGCACTATCCAGCTCCCTGGGAAAGACATGGCGCTTTCTTGGCTCTGTGTTCGACTCCCGAGTGCCCAGGTGGATCCACTGTTAGCATTTCATATTCTCAGTGAGTGTCCTGTATACCCCACTGCTTCCAGGAGAGGCCATCCTGGGGTTCCCAGGCCTTTGCTAACTATGTACACTCTGTCCTCCCTTGCTGTCATGTTTTCTTCAATCCGTCATTTGCAGGTGTCTTCTTCTATCTGAGCTCAGCCGTCAACCCCGTTATCTACAACCTCTTGTCAAGACGCTTCCGGGCAGCCTTCCGGAATGTCGTCTCTTCTTCCTGCAAGTGGTGCCGCTCCCAGGATCTCCCACCAGGACCGCCAGCCCAGAAGATCATCTTCTTGACAGAATGCCACCTTGTGGAGTTGACAGAGGATACAGGTCCCCAGTTCCCCCGTCAGTCATCCATCTCACACCTCTCCACAGCTCCCTGTGCTGGACAGGTATCATGAAGGGAGTGGTCAGAAGACCACGTCAGAAGGCCTGGATTCTGTGGATTGACACCCCTCTAAGCCCCAGCACAGCAAGGAGGGACATCCTGTCACCTGTGCCTCCTGTGTGGCCTTAGGAAGACAAGACTCTTAGATCCCACATACTCGTGACTTTTTTGACGTAAAAGTCCTTACTTCGTTCTAGGTCACCGTGCAGGCATTGCTGATTTAGACACTCCCATCTTTCTGTACTGCAAGCTTTCAAAACTGTGATTGCCATGCCCCACGTGAGTCTTACTTAAAGACGCTCTCATAATGGTTGAGTTTAACGGAGCGAAGCATGGCAGAGGAGCTAAGCAGCACAGCACAGTTAGCCCAACCTCCAAAGCCCAGGACTCATAAGGAGCTACTGGAGTGAGCCAGGGACTGGCTCAGAACTGCTCACAAAAACTTCTCCCTCCAATAGTTAGGACTTTCGCAGGCTTGTTGTCGCATGAGCGATGGCTTGAAATCAGTCATAGGAGAAATATTTAGGCTACAGGAATTAACAAGCTCTCCAAATCAGGGCTAAATCATTTTTATCCCCTGGAGAGCTGGCCCGAGAGCAGGTTGAGAGCTATTAATAAGCTGGCACTTTGCCAGCTTGCTGCAATGCGTGTGACTTGTTTTTAGACCCAACGCTGGTAATGCTGTAATTAAGGACTACTTAGAGTCCTGGTTAACTTGGTTAACTAGATTTTTTTTTAAACCTGGAGTTCCCAGATTAAAAATAATAAGCAAAACCCTGTTAATTAAACCAATGGAAGCAGCATCAGCATTTTATAATCAACCTAGAGTCGAAAGACTATTTTTGGATGCCATTCATTAACATTAGCGCAGAAAAGAACAATGGACCGAGTGTTGTTTTCCTTCTCACATCTATGTTTACAGAGTCCACAGGACGTGTTGTCAAAACAGGCGAATTCCCTACATTCTCTAGTTGGCTTGGCTGCAGACTTATTTCCTTCTTAACATGTAGAGATATGGTAAGTGGGTAAAAGCTCTCACCACCAAGTCTTAGGACCTAAGTTCGATATCTGGAATTCACATGGTTAAGAGAGAAAAGTGACTCCTCAACCTGTCTTCTATCTTCCAAACAAGTACCATGACATATTCTCCCCCACATGTTCCTATACATACCACATTAAATAAATTCATATAAAATTTTTAAAAAGTCTGATATAAATCCATAGTGTGGAAGCTAACAACTATACCATCTTCTAGCTGAAAGCTTTTCAAGGAAAGGTCAATGTTTAGAAGTTTTGACTAATTTATGAATGGGATAGAGATGGTAGACTATACCTACAATATACTGGTTTTGCTGCTAGGAAAATACATTCACTGTGCAAAACAGACTGTTAGTTTAGAGAGAGTGATGGACAAGTCTGGCGAAGAAAGCCAAAGCCAAGGACTGCAGGACAGAGGGAAGCAGGGCTGGAGAGATGGCTCAGTGGACGAAGATGTTTGCAGGCAAACCTGATGATCTGATTTCCAGTGGTTGAGAAAGAGATCCAACCCCGGAAGTATTCTCTGACCCGGCATGCTCACTGGGACTTGTGTAGCAGCACCCATTCCACATGATAAGCAGAGAAAGGCGTATGACCACATGAAGGCATGGAATAAAGCGGTCAGTGGGCCCCAAACTCCATCTGTGGGGATTACCCCGGGACATTTAGGTGCAAATTGAGGACCCGAGTTATAATTAACTAAGCAGCACTGTCAAAGTTCAACTTACTCCATCATCACCTGGGCTCCAACCCCCAAGGTCAGAGTTATCAGAACTGTGTGAAAGCTCCCATCCAGGAGACGAGCGCCCCCTCGGGCTGCACCAAACTTCATCATCTTCCTTCTCCCAGAGCGAGATGACTGAGAAAATTCCAGTTTCTTGTGGTCTATCATCTCAACAGTCTGATAAGCCAAGAGTGGAGCAGGAGTGTCTCCTTGAATGGCCTCACCCCTGCCAGGAGAGTTACCTCAGGATAGTACTTAGAAACGCTGTAATAAGCGTCTATAGAAAAAAAACATAATAATAGTAATAATAATTCAGGAATAGGAATGTATTATTCAGAATGATAGGTTTTGATGGCACTTTACAGTGTTTTACTGGTTTTGAGTGAACATTCTGGTGTACAGCAGCTTCTTCTGAGTTGAAACTCCACTCCAGGAAGGAGTCCAGAGGCTCATGGGACTCAGGAAGTAAACAAACCACAAGTCTCAGAAGCTGAAACTCCCAGGTTTTAAGATGCCCCTCAGCAGTGTTCCAGAAGTAGAAAGCAACTGCTGGGGTGGAGGGCTTTGACCATCGCCATGGGAGCTGTAAAGAGAAGCTTCTCAGGCCCCCACCCTCTAGCTGCCTGCAAGCTGCACAGGGCGCACCAGGCTTACAGTTTCCAGCAATCTCATCCATGCAGGAGTGGGTTATCAGCAAGCGCCTGCCCTCAAGTTACCCATGCTCCCGTAAGTAACCCCTCACCAATTCTCCCATAGGAACCTCAATAAACTCAGTGGCTCACCAAGTCAGAGATGCCGGTGTGATGTTTATTTTGATCTATCGTGGGTTCCCTGGAGTGAAGAAGTAAGATGTGTGTTCACAGTGACCCAGGAAACATTCACGCAGCAATACCTCTCTGGGGGAGTACTCATCAAATACACAAACTAAATGAGTCGTGCCGGCACAAAAACACAGCCTTCACCTCTAACGGGAGAAGAGTTTCCTCAGGAGCCAAATGGAGTGACTGTGGCCCAGAAACACAAATTTAGGTCACCCCAAATTCCATGTTCCAACATGAGAAAAATTTAGTGAGATATCTTTAGGGTAAGAGAAAGGGAAAGTCATAAATCCAGGTGTTTCTCAAGCACTTTGGTGGAGATAGGAAGTTGATGGCTAAGCAAAGCAAAGCAAAGCAGGGAGGCTCTGTTGTCGCCTCTGGTGTATCACGTGACAAACTTAGCTTTCTGATTAGTGGAAACTGAGGTCTGATCATACATTCCCAAAGGTTTCACCTGATCATAACAAGGCTATTAAGTCAGACACAGACATAAGAAAAGGGGAGCTCAATTTTAATTAGGTTCTGGATCTGCAACATTCCAATCTCCCCCACAACCTCTGAAGTTTTTGTCAGTGAAGGCCCCAGCGAGATTTGAACTCGCGACCCCTGGTTTACAAGCCCAGTGCTCTAACCCCTGAGCTATAGGGCCACACCACAACCTCTGAAGTTCCAATCAGCTAGTTACTGGACCTGGCAGCAGGTTCAGTGGATTGTGCGGCACCTTTCTAGAAACCTTGGCTCACAGTAACATCCTAGGAAATTTGTCAGGCTTTTTAAAAAATCATTCTTCATTTCCAATCCAAACAAACAAGCTCCCTAAGATTCCACCGCCCACTGCTAGGACGCATGAATAATGAAGGCACAGACATGTGTTACAGATCGCTTCCCCAGTACATGAAAGATTAATCAATACTACGGCAGGACCGTCAGCAAAACGAGGAGCCTGGAATGCTCAGAACAGCGATGCGTATTAATTGAATCTGAGGGTCTTCAGCCTCTGCCAGCTGAGAAATGAAATGTCTGTGATTTGTCTCTCAGAGTCAGAAGACAGAGATGAGGGCAATGACCATGTGCTCATTCCTGCCTGGACATCGAGGTCAGAGATGAACTAAGGATGTGTGTGTGTGTGTGTGTGTGTGTGTGTGTGTACTCACATGCAGAAGGCACATGCACACAGCCCAAGTTGATGTTGGGTGAATTCATCACTCTCCTCATGTTACTCTTTGAGACAGCCGTCTCTCACTAAACATGGAGCTCATTGGTTGTTTAGACTGGCTGGGCAGTGAGCTTCAGAGATTTGTCTGTCTCTGCACGTCCCCAATCCTGGGCTTGGGTGACTAGGGCACACTGCTGTGTTTTTATGTGGGTGCTGGGGATCTGAACTTAGGTCCTCAGGCTTGTGTAGCAGGCCCTCTGTGCTCTGATACCCATCTCCCAGCCCATCTCCATGTATTCACGCAGAATTTCTCTCACTGATTGAAAGGGATTTCATTCTTTATTTTCCGTTAATTCTGGCTCTGATGTCTTTCTTTTTATTTTTCCTTTCCTTTCCTTTCCTTTCCTTTCCCTTTCTTTCTTTCTTTCTTTCTTTCTTTCTTTCTTTCTTTTTGTTGTTGTTGTTTTCGAGACTGGACAGGATTTTTGTAGCTTTGGAGCCTGTCCTAGAACTTACTCTGTAGACCAGGCTGGTCTCAAACTCACAGAGATCCACCTGCCTCTGCCTCCCAAGTGCTGGGATTAAAGATGTGTGCCACCACTGCCTAACCGTGCAGCCCTTTTCAATGCTTACATAACAGAAGTTCTAAGAATTTAGAAGATTAAGGTGCCTTTGGTATAATCTAACCAAACAGAACTTTAATTTATTCATATGTTGTAGGAGGCTAATTTTTCATTTCTCTGCTGCCCAGATTCCCTAAATAACCACACAGAAACTATATTATTTAAAACACTGCTTAGCCAATGACTCTAGTGTACTCCTAGTGAGCTCTTACATATTAAATTAACCCATTTCTATTATTTCTATATTTTACCATGAGGGTCATGGCCTACCAGCCAATCACCTTGCATCCTTCTCCTCTGGCGGCTCCATGACATCTCACTGACTCCACCTCCTTTCTCCCAGCATTCAGTTTAGTTTTCCCTGCCTACCTCTATTCTGCCCTGCGCAGTCCTTTATTAACCAATGGTATTCACAGCATACAGAGGGAAATCCTACATCACCTTCCCTTTTCTGTTTAAATAAAAAGGAAGGTTTTAACTTTAACATAGTAAAATTACATTTAAAAAAGGTATCAAGCAAGAATTACAGTTACAATATTTATATCTACTTTATCTTTTATCATAACTAAGGAAAACTATAATTATAACTATCTATTCTTCAATGCCGTCAAAGATTCCAGAAGGATATAATATTACCCAAGTAAATAGGAAGTG